TTATTCGGCAGTCGCACTTGTCGACTCGCCAACGAGGCAGTCAGTAATTTAATAATATTCTCTAATACCAATAATAGAAAAAAACTTAGTTGGAGGTAGATATCGTTTGAGCAGAAGTAAATGAATCAATTCCAATGATTGAATAAAAAAATAAGTCACATAACTCGTTCCATTAACCTTTTGAATGCACCGATATGAAACAGAATAGAAATTACATTGTGTCTCGCGTAGATCCACGTCTTAGACACACGAAAGGTTAATCATCCAAAATCCCTATAATTTATGTTTTTTATTTAAAGGTGCTGGTCAAAATTTCGCTGAGAGATTGTTAAAGCAGTTTAATCCGACAATGACGGTATCGGAAGCTAAGAGTAAAGCAGCTAAAATGTTCTCGTCCACCAAAGGTAGACGCGTCTATAGACTCAAGAAGCAATATATGGAAGGTTTCATGGAAGAAGATTTGGATGAACAGGTAATGATAAGAGTCGGTAAAAGAGCAGACGGATCACCTGATGGTAAGCAATCGGCGCCGTCCATACACACCTGAAACACCAGAGCCGTTACAAGTGCGTTACCGGCCTATTGGGAATTTGTGGATTGTGGGGGATTGGGGAGACTGGGTAGGGGGAGGGGGGCTCCTGTATCCTCACTGACACGACGAAACGCAACGCGACTGTTGTTACACTATGGTTTTCTCTGAGGCCGTGGTATCGCTCCAGTCGAACCGGCCCATTCCTGCCGAAGCAAAGCTCTACGACAGTTAAAGCCTTACCTACTCGATTTCATTTGAAGAATGTGCATAACTTTATAAAATCACAGAAGTAATGTGTGCGTTAACGCTGTAGAGTTAAGGTTGAATTTATTACGTACAGTTTTGGAAAGACGCTTCGATGCGCTTCGACTCTGCGCGATATAAATTGGCCCTTAATAAAATATGGTTATTGTTATAGGTGGTAGAAATGACATCGTATCAAGCGATGCGTTTAGCAAAGATCAGTGGGAAGAAACTGGATGATATGTTCGAGAAACCAAAATGGGTCAGAGGCACTGAATCTGACATGTTCAACAAGTTAGAAGAAATCGCTGGTATGTAGTAGTATTCTATTTTGATAATAACTTCAGTCACTTTAGGTATAGAAAACTGTTATTTCAGACTATTCTAGTCTACCATCTCATTGCCAAATCTAATTTAGATCTGTTTAGGGGTATTTTGCGTTTTTTTTTATGGGATAAGCCGGTAAACGAGCAGACGGTGATCAGTCTGAGCATAAGGTGATCTTTATGATAAGCAATCGGCACCACCTATAGACACCTGAAACACCAGACGAGTTTTATTTATTATTTATATTTTGTAGATTCAGAGGGTCCATCGACGGCGTTTCTATCAGGTCGGTTGTCTCGCGCACTGGAGCATGCTCAGGGTCGATGGGGCGGCACCCGACTGAACTGGGCCGTGCAGAGCGCCGCCGCTGACTTCTTACATCTCATGCTGGCTAGCATGGCTCATTTAGCACCGAAGGCGAGGTAATCAGAAACTCTTTTTAAGAAAGAAAAATTAAGATGGTTCTATTTACTACCATTATTGACTGCCTCGTTGACCGAGTGGTCGCAAGTGCGACTGCTGGGCAAGGGGTCTCGGGTTCGATTCCGGGATTGAACAAAGTGTTACTGGTTTTTTTTTTAAATCTCAGTAGTAGCACGGAGTCTGGAATTGTGCCCGGTATATGGCAATAAGCTCACCCCCTATTACATAGGACTCATAACATAAATAGTGAACAGTGAGTGTTACATTGTACAGTGGCATAATGTACACCTCTGCCTACCCCTTCAGGGATAAAGGGGTGATGTTATGTATGTATTTACTACCGGGGATGACACCGAAAAACAATAATTCTGTTATAAACTGCGTTTAAATAACCGACTTCAAT